GGAGAAGGTAGGGAGCAGCTTGTGGGGAAGGAGGTGGTGGCTGGTCCTGGGCTGTGCAGTGACCCTTGCTCTGCTCTGCTCTCTAGGTGTTCATCCACTGTAGTGCGGCAGTGTGCCAGCCGACTGCTACTGAGCGCTGTGTGCCCACCTGTGGCAGGAGGAGTGAGTTCTCTTGGGATGGGCAGTTGTGTGTGTGTGTGCCAGTCAGCTGTGTATCCTTTCCTCATGCTGGTGTCCCTTCCTCTTGCAGGAAGAGCTGTTGCTCAAGTGGCACAGGACTCCTCCAGAGAAACGGCACTGGTGTCCAGTGGGGAAGTGATCCTGGTTGGATCCGAGCTTCCAGCTCTGGCTCAAGTGGATTCCCATCTTGAAGGTGAGGGAGGGGGTTGGAGGCTGAGTGTCTGATCCTGTTCCCTGTGTCTGACCACTGACTAAAGCTCTTCTCTCCCCAGCACCTCGGTTCCTGAGCTATGGGCTGCTGGTAGTTGCTGCCTCCACTGTGCTTGTGGTCTCTGCTCTGGTGCTGGTGGCTGTGTGGAGATCTAGACCTCAGATCCAGAATACCAAGCTGTGCATGGAGTGTGAATAAAGGATTTGCACTGATCTCTACTTATTGTGGCTTAGTATTGTTTTAGTGTGTTCCTTGGGACTATCATAGTGCTGGTGAGCTGCTAGATTCCTGGCTGTTTCTTTGGGAAAGATGTGGATCTGCTTAGGTTTTTGACAGCCAGCTAAGCTTCCTTCCCACATTTAGCTAATCTGTGTAATTCCTTCTTTTTATCCTAGCCCTGATTTCTACTTGCTTGAGCAGTGTCTGTTGTTAAAGAACAGACAAGCTTGGCTATATACCACCTCCCTCATGCCCCTTCCAGTCCCTGTGGATTTCAGTATCAATCCCCGCTCTTCTGTATTCTCTCTCCACTACCTTCTTGTGAGCTCTCTTCCCAAAGTGTACTGATTTTGGGAGAGTTCCATCATTCTCTTTAATCTTACTGTGTGGATGTGTAGTCATGCACAATTGCATCACCCCTTGTTTACATCCTATGTGCCTGCATTTGCTTGCTTTAGCTCTTCCAGCACGCTCAGAAGAAGCTGGAAGACTCTCAGTGGGGATCAGTGTTTTCCAAATTTCATGTTCAAGTGCTTACAGTTGGGGGTGGAGCCAGGAATTGATTTGTGGGTGGGCCTGGGCTCTAACTGGCTGTCCTGCCAGCATAGGGGCACCTCTCCAATTTGAAGAACTGTAGCTTGCTGGGGTGTACTTGGGCTTTCTTCTCTAGTTCCATCTAGGCTACACCCCTGCTCCCAGCTCGAGGGTGTTGCTTGGCCTGTAGATGATGGGTTTATCAATCTGTAAGGACTTGTCCGTTTAGTGCCTGTTCACAAATTTGAGTCACAAGAGCAGTGGTCTTGTAGTGAAATACTCCTGTCAGTAGTGAGAGCTGGAAGTGGGCTGCTAATTAACCTGTTGCCTTTTATTCTTGACTGAGTAGGTAGAGCTAGATTAATGCTGCCTGCTGGAGCACTTCAGGACCCTGGTCAGTTCCCTCACTCTGTCACCTTACGCAAATGGGCTGCCTGAAATCCAGACCAGTCCCGGTCCTTAATGTTTTACCACGAGGTCGGTGCATCGTGTATCATGTCATCTTGTGAAGACGAAATGCCTGTGATGAACGCTGGGGGCAGGAATGTCTGTACACTACTTCCAACAGTCATTGTCAGTGGCTGGCAGTTCTTTACCAGAGACCTTACTAAGAATCCGCTACTGCTTGTCTGTGTCCCTGACAGCAGCAAAAGTGCCTTGCAGAAGTATTCAGACCCTTTTCAAATGTTGCTGGGTAACAAATGGTACTTGCACACCCTCTTCAAATCAGAATTGTTAATGCAAACTTACAGTGCCCTCCAGAATTATTGGCACCCTTGGTTAAGATGAGCAATAAAGGCTATGAAAAATCTTTGTTCATCAGCTTGATCTCACACTGAAAATAGGAGAGAAATCTAACCTTCCAGTGAGGTACAATTAGTCAAAGGAAAAAAAGCCTTAATTTTTTCTCTCAAAAATGCAGGTGTCACAATTATTGGCATCCCTAGAAATTCCTAAGAGCAAAATCTAATTGACATATATTCCCATTCATATTTGACCTTTTTAAAGTACACCTGAGTCTTTAGGAACTCTTAAGTGGTCATCCTTGACTTCCTGTTTCACTGTGGTATAAATATGAGGTAACAGGCAGGACAAACACCCTCAGTCATCCATCAACATGGGGAAGACCAGAGAACACAAAAATTAAATGAGACAGACCTTCATCAATCGGGCAACGGTTATAAAACTTGCTTCACACCTGAAAATACCCATCTCCACTATAAGGGCAATCATTAAGACGTTTCAAACAACCGGAGCTCTGATGAACCTGCCTGAGAGAGGACTCAAGTGTATTTTGCCCACACACACAGTGAAGAAGACGGTTTGTGAGGCAAAACTTTCTCCAAGGATCACAGTTGGACAATTGCAGGAGTTGGTTGCATCCTGGGGTCACCAAGTCTCCAAAACTACAATTAGACGCCACCTTTGTGCCAACAAACCATTTGGAAGGCTTGCCAGAAGAAAGCCCCTGCTGTCGTCAAACCACAAAAGTAAGCGCCTGGAGTTTGCGAAGTATTACTGGAACTCTGATTGGAAACGGGTTCTATGGTCAGATGAGACAAAAATAGAGCATTTTGGCAACAAACGCCAGAGGTGGGTTTGGCATAAAAAGAGTCAAGGTCATGCAGAAAACGAACCTTCTCCCCACTGTGAAGTGTGGTGGTGGATCTGTGATGTTGTGGGGCTGTTTATCTTCCAAAGGCCTTGGAATCTTGTTAGGATACATGGCATCGTGGACTCCATCAAATACCAGGAGATTTTAGGTCAATATCTGGCTGCCTCTGCCAGGAGGCTAAGACTGGGTCGTGGTTGGATCTTCCAGCAGGACAATGATCCAAAGCACACCTCCAAATCCACACAGACATGGTTCACTGACCACGGAATCAAGCTGTGGGGTGAGCTGAAGAGGAGAGTCCACAAGCGAGGACCAAGGACTCTGAAGGATCTCAGATCCCTTTATACAGTATGTGTTCTCCCACCTCATCCAGCATTATTAGAGAAGACTCAGTGCTGTTATCTTGGCAAAGGGAGGGGTGCCAGTAATTGTGACATGTGTGTTTTTGAGAGAAATGTTTGTTTTTTAAAATATTTTTTTTTCTTTGAACAATTTTACCTCACCGAAAGGTTAGATTTCTCTCATATTTTCAGTGTAAGATCAAGCTGATAAACAACAAAGAATTTTTCATTGCCTTTATTGCTCATCTTAACCAAGGGTGCCAACAATTCTGGAGGGCACTGTAAGTTTGCATTAAAAAATCTGATTTGAAAAGGGTGTGCAATATCGGAAATTCATTGTTTTATTGGACCATTTAAAAAAAACACTACCTTCCAATATTCACTGCAATAGACTGGTGTCCCATCCTGGGTGTACCCCACTTTGGGCCTGTTGCTTGCTGGGATAGGCTTCAGCTTCCCTTGCAACATTGTACAGGATAAAAATGTGAGAAAATCTATAGATGTATTACACAATTCCTATGACGCTAC